TTACTTGTTCGGTTCTAATGTTATTACTAAGACGTCTAATAAATGCACGGCTTTTAGTTCTAGAAGAATCAAAGTCAGTAAAGACAAGTATTTTTTGTATAATGTCTGCATTTTAATTGCTCAACTTCTTTTGCACCAGAGCAACTGTCAAAAATTTCCAGCAGTAAAAAGTTACGAATTGGCACAGCAGAAATGTTAAATTTTCGCCATAATAAAAAGTTTTTCAACATGGAACTTTTCTACTAATTGACATGAAATTACTATCTCAACGCTCGGAGCGCTGCAACTGAGGGCCTTTGCCAACTGATAAAAAGAGAAAATTTGGAAAGATCAAACAAAAATTTTGAGATTTCTCGTGGTGAATACGAACGCCATAATTTTTACCTAGCTCGTGGGATTACGCAAAATTTTGACAGCTTGTAAATATGTATACACATAAAGTTTTTGGCGGTAATCAAGAGTCAAAATCAAAATGGAGAAAAGAACAAAAAGCTTACATTAGTTGTCAGTTATAAAATAAATCAAATTTATCTGCGAATATTTGTTTATTCTATTTACTGAAAGGCAACCACGCGGAAAAGCTTGTATTGATTATATTGATAACAGAACCTGGCAACTCGCACGTTGTCTAAATTCTCAAGTAACATCAAATCTACAAAAGAATACATTGCTTGTATCAATACGTCATGTATAAATTTTAACAACACACAAAAATAGAGCTTTCGTAAGAGCGTTTGTTTGGTTTTTAAACACCATTTATAATTTTCTTTTAATAAAATCACGATTTGTCAAATGCTTACATTTATTTTTCTAATAATAATGCAGCACACAACCCTGAAATCTATGAAAAATCTGAGGAAGGCCATTAAATAGCAGCACAGATCCCAGTGCCTACCTCAAGGGTGAATATAGCTACAACAACACCGATTACTACAACAAGAACCCAAAAAGGTCTATACTGTGCATTTTTAGTTTGTTCCAGTACACTAGGACATAGTAAGAAACAGTATGAAATTACAGGAAGTCGTTCCCGTACGCAAGAATTTCTCTCACTGGGAACACTTTTGAGCGAGTAAGAGAGCAACTCTTCCCAGTCAGAAGTGACAGGATTTTGCCCGAAGTTTTTCTTCCTGCAAGTTCATGAAAAGTGTCAAACGATAGGCAGGGTTGCATTAGTAAACAAACACAGAACGCGGTGCGATCAAAGATGGAGGTAAACAACGAAATATTTGAATATGTATGCAATTATTCTTAATTGTATAATTTTTAATAATTATTTAATGATTTTCAGCCAAATCAGTGTTCTACCAATGACATGTAAACAAACCTACTGACGTTTGTGCAGGAAATAGTGCTTTTTGCGTTCCCGTTCACTTCTGTAACAGTTCCCCTTATACTCTCACTTGAGAGAGTAAGAATGTAGTTTGACAGTTCCACATGTCTTTGCACGAAGAATACTGGAACAAACTATTTACTTAACGAAGTGTCAGAAAGAAATTTTATTATAAGAAGAGAACAAGAGAGAAGGTAACGAAAATTCAAAAGAAAGGGAATGCATGATAATTAACATGTCAAACAACTTAAGATAGGGCTGTATTTATTTCATTTAATTCAGCATATATATTGGCGTTATTTCACCTTTGATAATTTGTTGTGAAATGTTTACCTATTGTACAGCTGGTGTGCATATAAAGAGTAACTCGGTAATTCTCTAGTTTCAGGTACAACTTGCAAGAAAAAAACGCCCAAAAAAGTCAGGAGGGTGCGTTTTTATCCCTGTATTAACAATTTGGATGTTAATATTGTTAACCATGCAAAAGTTATTAACAAAACACTTTTTTGCAATATTGCCCTTTTTATGAGCAATTTCACGCTCAAAAATGCACTAAATCACCAATATTCTCTTTTGAAAAACTAGTCAAATATATTATTTAAAAAACTTTTTCAAAAAGCGATGTTCCCGATCTGAAATGAGAAAATTCAAAACGGCGTAAAGTGCTCCCACTTTATTTGTATTTCGTAAAAATTCAGTTTTCCTTAGTACTCAACATTGCAGATGCCATATAAGGAAAACTGAATTTTTACGAAATACGAACTATACGCCGTATTGAATTTTCTCGTTTCAGATCGGCCATAATAGTCTTATTTCTCAATGTGAAGTGAAATAAAGCCATATGGCGTTATTTCCTATGGCTTTATTGCACGGCGCCTTTTTTTCTATCATCTATTCTTCAAAATGTAATAGATCCCCACGACGCTCGGGTAAATCCCGATTTAACATCGTGGGCTCCTCTACGAAATATAATATTTACTTGACTAAAATATAGACGCATAATTATGTATGTACAAATGTATGTTTTAATGTATGCTTTCCAATATTTTTCAGATATATTAAGCATTATAAAAAATGGCTGACTAGTAGACACTATTACATTTGTCAAGCCAAAATACAGTTGGTGCAACTAATTGGTACTGATCCCAAGGAGCTTATGGTAGTACCTGAGGATAAACTCAATCTCAAATTGGAATATGTTAAAGAGTTGATCGATTTATATGAGAAATTAGCACCGTGTATGTATTATATAAACATATTCACAAATACATGTGCAAAAAGCAAATAGAGTTGTAAAACATTCGAAACTGTCAAATATGTATTTCAGGTGAAGTCCGCATGTTGGGTACATTTTGTTTTGAGTTGCACTCAGCCATAGCAGAGCATACACGTCGAGTGGCATTGCAGACCACATTATCTCCGAAAAACATGTTGGAGGAATCCTTACTCTATGTTGAAAAATGTATAAATTATTTGCAGCATGAATGCGACCTGTTTGTAGAGGGTCACATCCTTATACAGGCGAGAATCAACAGAGACGCTCTAAGAATGGTGCTAGTAATGTAAAAAAAGAACGCTCAATTATCTTTGTATTTTTAATTTATTATTTCATCCTATTAAAGAAATTTAAAACTTATTTTATTTTCTGGTAAATAGATTAAAGGAAGAAATTGGTAGCTTAGAGTGAAAAGTAGCTAAGTCCACTTTTTTTGAAAACTCATATTTTGATAAAGGAAGCAAGAGAATTCAAAAATGCATATTTTCGAAAAGGATTAAGGTACTTCAACGAAAGGCAAATTTGCTAAGTCCAAAAGAGGCGCCGAAAATCCGATAAAGCAAAAATAGTAGTACGAAATCCTTTAACAATGATCGAATCCTCCGGATTGTAAAGGAGTTTTGCTTTGCTTTAAACATGCAAAATGTTGTGTTCTAAGTTTAGCGATAAAAAGAAAGAAAATGGCTCCAAGAAGTTTTTTCGTCTCCTGTAAAATTTTTAAAAGAGAACTTAGCAACTTTTCACTCTAAGCTAGCGATATGTTTATACATGTTATACAATTAATATAAATATTATATAAATATTAAATATTAATATTAATAAATAAATAATAATAAATATTAATATAATTCATTCTCATCAAGTGCTTCAAAAGTGTTTAGGCGCGTCTGCTAACACCAGGCGCCTAAATACATGCTATGTACTGCTGCATGTGCAAAAATTTCCTTTATACAATTTATGAAATTTTTGCACATGCACTTCTCAACTGCCATGTAATTGAACTTTCTTAAGTTTTGATTAGATGGCACTTCAAAGCATGCTCGGCCTAGTCTGATGCATCCTCCGGACACTGCTTCCGGAGCATTTTGCGGACTCTGCATGACTTACAACCATGCAGAGGTGGCAAACGAACTTTGCCATTGGCCACAATGCCTACCCACCATTTTTGAACCAATAAATATTTTTTTATATAAATACATACATGTAAACATACTGGCCTCTCCTCTCTCTGAGTTATTCAAAAAGTTTAAATAAATATTAATATAAATATTAATAAATATATAATAATAAATAAATATTAATATAATTCATTTTCATCAAGTGCTTCAAAAGTTAGACGAGGAATATTTAGATCGCTTAAATAGAATAAGTTGAATTCAAATTACGCTGTGCAAGCTGCAAGTTTGAGCAAAAGTTTTAATAGTTGAACTCACCGCGTGATTTCGACGACTTAGGGGAAGGAAAATCATAGCACCCACAATTTTTACTCTAGAAATTTTTTTAGTTATGTACTTCTAATAGACTATATAAATACGGTTTCAAAGGATGTACGTGATTCCATAAGTACAATATTTTAGATGGGCATTTCCAGGGGATGGTCTTTACAGTCAAAAATTAAAAGTGATACATACATACATACATATTCACCCCTATGCTGTAATCCGTTATAGATTCGATTTTGCTACGAATCGTAAAATTGGTATGCTGAAATCCGCGTAAAATAAAGTGTGTAAAGGAGAAAATATGTAAGTTAAAGTGTAAATAGAAAAAAATGGATTATTGTTAAATATTTACAAAATTATCAGGTCGAAGATCACAACAAATCGGTCGCAATACGAAAAAATGGTAGAATGCAAGACCGAAAGGCCGGACATTGCCCGCGGCTTTGCAAAAGGAGCTAAAGAGGATGTAGTGGAGTTTTGGGAAAGCGTCGCTCAGCAGCTAAACAGCTTAGGCCCACCGACAAAAGATGTATCCAGCTGGAAAAAGGTGCGGATTAAATTTTAAGAGCACAAAATTTATTTATCATTTCCTTATATCAATACTATTTCTAGGTATGGCTACAGTGACCATCCGTTCTGTTTTTTGCAGGACCGTACTGTTTTTCAAAGGTCGGTCCTGCGTAGTTTTACAAACCTGAAAAGCCTGAAAATGTACTGATTTTTTCCAAGTGTCCTGCATTTGTCCCGCATTTTATTCGTTATTTTAAAATTATCGGACAATGGATGGATTTTTTCAAAAAAGTGTTTTTTGGTACTTTTCGTAGCTTTTCTTCAATATCTCATGAAAAAATCTCCAAATTAACGTAAGCGACTTACAGCTCGAAGGGTATTGATGTGCCTCTTACCAAAATATATAACTTGTGGCGACTTCAATGAAAATGTTTAGTGCTACAGGCGAAAAAAGTGAGATTTTCAATCAAATACGCAGTTTCATTTGATTTCTTTTTTTTCATTATTTAAAAAATTCGATAAAGAAGATATATCATTACAGTGATCTTTGAGCCAAAGGTAATGAAAATCAGATTAGAAATGTAGATGCTATGGAGCGCAATATGCACAAATTATATATCTTTGTTAAGGGCACTTTGTAACTCATCGTTTACGTCGATTCATGACGTAAATTTTTGAAAAATAACTGCGAAAAGTAACAAAAATCCAAAAAAGAAGGGTATTGTTTTCGTTTTGAACGACTCAAAATTTGCTTATAAAATAATCTTTTAAAGATTTTCACTTTTCGTGTAAGCTATTGTAATTATAATATGTTTTACTATACTTTTATAAATATTCATGTAAAAAAAGATCAATATCAATGAAGAAAACGTGATTCATTTTTAAAGTTTAAAATGTATTAAGAATTTAGAATCATAAATACTCTTTTGATATTTTTTTACTACGTAAATATATGTAGGCTTATTTTTGAAAAATTGTCCTTCATTTTGAATCCATATTTATGGTCACCGTAGGTATGACTCGATTATAAGTGCTACATTAAAAGAAAGCTTTCCGCCAATAAAGTAGAGACGAGGGCAACTGGTGGTGGACCCAACAGAATGCATAATTTCAATGAGTTGAAGGAAAAAGTGGTCCGAGTTGACGGGTTTGCACACTTCCACATCGGGGATCAGTGGAGCTGTCTCTTTTGGTGTGGTAACAACACAGACGGTTACCCAACCGTTGGTGGAACCTGCGGAAGTCGTTCCTATGCCAACTGAGCCAGACAATGCCAATGTGCAGAGTCGTTCCCCCGGTAAAAAAAACGACTCGGCCACTTTGGTGCAGGAGCAAATAAATTTGCAACGAAGCTACTACCAAAAAAGTTTGGCCTTTTTGGAACACCAGGCTGAGTATGCAAACGGGCTGGCAGATAACGTGCGACGCATGTACCAGGTGCAAGAAAACATGCATGACATGAAGAAGGAAAAAAGCGGCACAATATTGAAATGGAGGCCCTTAAAAGAAGGAAGCTTGATTTGCAGGAAAAATTACTGCGGATACAAGAAAGAAGCCAGCAAAAATTAACTCATAGATTAATTTATTTTTAAGATTTTTTTATTTTTGAATTTAATTTAATTTTGCACTGAACTACTGATTTTGTTATTTTTTTTTATTTATTGGATTTAAGACTGTTAGATTTAAGAATATAACTGAACTAAAGAAGCGAACTAACGTTTTTGATATCTGTATATATGTATAAACTATTAGATTTAAGAAAAGAACTGAACTAAAGAAATGAGCTAACGCTTGTGATGACTCTATATATTTACAAACTATTAGATTTAAGAAACCAACTGATTTTTTTTTGTATACAATAAAACCCGCTTTTGTCAGCTTTTTGAGATACTTAGGCGGGTTGCGTACTTAAAAGAACCCGCTTAAGTACCTCGATGCGGGTACTTAAGCGAACATAATTACTGATGTAGTTACATCTTCTTGTTAGCTTACATAAATATTGAATAACAACATTTAATGAAGTATACATACTTTAAAACCAAAAACATATTTAGTGCAATGGTCTGTCATTTTTACAAGAATTAAATTGTTTAAAAAGTCAAGGTTGGACATATCATTTTGTACCGAATTCAAAATGATATTGTTTGCCACTTATGATTATTTATTAATTTTTAATGTTTTTCAATCAATTAAAATGCATTTCACTCCCTAACAAATACCATATAAGCCTAAGCTTAAGATTTTGTAGAACACTTAAAAAAAAATCATCATAATTTCAAACTTTTTTCCCAGAAGTGTTATTTGAGTACATATTCAGTACTTAAGCAGGTTTCACTGTATTTAGTTTTAAGTAAAGAACTGAATTTATTTCTAATTTTTTTGTATTAAATAAATATGAAGTAAAAAGTTATGGGATTGTTTTCATTAGTTAGGTAATGATCTCAAAATTCGCATTCTTATATCTGACGCTTCTCTGGAAAATTCTGATGGCGCTTCCTCTTCATTTACATCTTCATATTCATCAGCCATAATATCAGATGTATTATCTTCCACGTTATAGTGGATGCACATGTTATGCAATGCGCATACGCCATTTATTATTTGTACCACTTTTTGGGGCGAATAATGTAGTTGGCGAGCACTTAGCAGGCATCGAAATCTATTTTTCAAAACGCCGATGACTCTCTCGACTATGTTGCGCGCTTTACTGTGCGTTTTGTGGAAGGCGTTTTCTCGACTTCCTGCCACAGGAGAACGGCTGTAATGGATATCCAGCATCGCCTGTTAAACAAAATATTTTTAGTTATATTTAACACATTTTGCTCCCATTCCATTTATAACATACCTAATATCCAAGTTGTTTTGTCTCCTTGCCGATATCTCTCTCCAAAATAGGTTTTTGCAGCGCTTACATTCCACACATGTGAGTCGTGGCTATTGCCTGGAAAACGAGCATCAACACACCTTATTTGCATCTAGTTATCGCAAATCTATTTAATAAATTTACGATAAATTGCACGTACAAAATCACTTTGCTCTTGTGGTTTTACTGGCCGTCTCCACAGGATAAAATTTATTGCTGCCCAGCTGTCATTTTGGCCGCTAGGTATAAGTTATATCAGTGGCAATATTTGTGTGGGCTCTTTATATCTTGATATACGCATTTGTGAGATAGCTTCGAAAACGTATTTTTGCCGGATTTAATCGCTTAAAAAATTTAGAAAATAGGCTAGTTTGCATCCAAATACATAATTACAAATATTTTAACAGGAAGCAGCTCAATTTTTGCTTTTATATTAAAATAATAATGATGTTGTAGCCACGAAGTTTTCGTGCAAATGAAAATGTAGCTGTCAAACTACCAAATTGCCGGCAATAGATGGCAAGATATATAGGCTGTGGTATCCCTTACGATTGTAGTACAAATACGGTTCGTCTGCAGGAGGAAGTATTTTAATGTGCGTGCCGTCCACACACATAATAACGCCAGGGAATTGCGTTCTCCTGTAAAACCACATGTTTGCAAAAAATTTATCCGTTAGGTGGCGCCGGGGTTAAAATATTTGGAAGCCCGTATATATGGACCGATTTCTTTAAAATTTGCGACATGTATTAGATACATAGGAAGAAATATATTTACAAATAAATAATATAAAAAAAGTGTTTAATATACAACGTTTTTATAAATGGACTAATAAAGTAGAAAATAATAATTCTCAGTCCCACAGAATTTGTTTTGATAACTTTTGATTTTGAAATTTAAGCAAAAGTCATTATAAGCAATTTATGAGATTGAAAATGAAAAGCGT